GTCAAACACAACTCAACAACAACCACTAAGCATTTAATGAGTGCTTTCTAATTCATTCATTTAGCCTAAATACTTAATTAACACTTTCCACTGGTTTCTTCCTGCTAGTACCTCCTCATCCCTTTTCCACCTACAATCTTTGGAATGAGTAACTTGTGGAATTGTAGTTTGTGGAACTGATTGGGGTGTGAACACCTTTGTATGTGTGTCTTTGTAGGTAAACACTTATAGGTGTTTTAAAATATGTATATGTGTATGTAGTTTTGCACGTGTACATCTGTGCTTATAGTACATGTTTCTGTATAAGTGTGTTGATTCTTGAATACAAGGTTCCATTTGAATGTTTATGTGTGTTACACAAACACATGTTGAATGGATGATTATATGTTTGTACCTCGTGGACTTGGATGCTCGAGCATGTTTACATATCAATCAATCAATATTAATTAAGCACCCACTATGAGCCAGGCATTGCCAAACCAGCTAAGCAATGGGGATACAAAAACAGGCAAAAGACAGTCCCTGCCCTCGAGGAGTTTACAATCTCATGGGAAGCTTACAATCTAATATCACAGGTGGGTCTATGTCTTCAGCATTAACATTCTTTCTTCATTGGTGCAAGGTGGGGGGGTTTGTGATTTGCTGTTCAGAAAAGAACTGGAATTTGAGATCCTGAAATCTGACCACACCAGGAATAATGGGTATAGTTCTGGGAGATACCTTTAAAGAAAGTTATTGACAAGCTGGAGCAGATCCAGAGGAGTGTGACCAGGGGTGGTGAAGGGTCTGGAAACCGGGTTATACAAGGAGCTGGGGGTGTTTAGTCTGGAGAATAGAAGACTTAGGGAGGAGGGAACATGATAGCAATCTTCAAATACTTGAAAGCCTGTCATGTGGAAGATGGAGTACATTTAATCTAGGTGGCCCCACAGGGTAGCATTGGGAAGATTTCAGCTCCATCTAAGCTAATTTCTCACAATTAAGACTTATCCCAGATCGGGATGGGCTGCCTTGGGCAATAGAGAACTTTCCATCGTTGAATGTGCTCAAGTAGAGATTGGAAGACCTTCTATCTGTCAGGCATGTACTAAAGAAGATTCTTAGCACAAGGTGGGAGGAGGGCCAAGATGAGCTCTTCAGTCACTTTCAAAAGAGACTATAAGATTTGAAAATTCCATGATTCTATGGTCTTTGTACTGGTCCTAGGTTGTCCTTTCTCACTTGGGATACACAGAAAATTCCAACCCACAAGAAGAAGAAGAAGAAGAAGAAGAAGAAGAAGAAGAAGAAGAAGAAGAAGAAGAAGAAGAAGAAGAAGAAGAAGAAGAAGAAGAAGAAGAAAGAAGAAGAAGAAGAAGAAGAAGGAAAAAGAAGAAGGAAAGAAGAAAAAGGAGGAGGAATCCTAAAGTCCTGAATACAAAACAATATGGGGTTTTTTGTTTGTTTGTTTCTCTCTCCAAGATAAACCCTTCCATATTCTTTGTCTCATGCCTGAAAAGCTGACTTTGCTCTACTCAATCCACCTCAAGTCTCCTGGCTCTCTGTGTTCAGTTCTAGCCCTTAGATCATACGGATGTCTTAAGGGGGACAGAAGGCCAACTTGGCTGTTGTCCCATCCCACCTCATCCCAGCCCAAGAAGGATAATATCTCCCCCCTCCTCTGTGCAGGTCATGGGTATTGGGGGAGGGAGGGAAATGCAGCTAAGCCAGGGGTGTTGTAGCAGAGGAAAGCCTGTGAGAGCTGCAGCTGGTGCTGCCTGCTAGGTGGTCTCCTGATCTCCCAAACATGCTATACTCACTCCTGCCTCCATATCCTAATAAGACTGTATCCCCTGCTGGGGAAGCTCTAGTCACCCCTCATCCAGTAACCCTCCTTGGACTGCTCCAGCCTTCACTTAATTCCCTGAACCGTTTCCCATAGCGATTTCTGTCTGGATTGCAGTAGTTCTTCATAAATGTCTTGATTACAAGCTGTCATATATCAATGTATAAGTCTCTTAACAACTGCAAGGCCTGTGATTTTTGCTCTTGGCTCCTTTCTGACACCATACACAGGAGCTGGGCACCCAGAAGATAGTAGGTACTTACCAGCGATTGAATAAAACATGACCTTAGTTGGCAAAGCCAGAATGGCTTGTTTAAAGCCCTGAATCCATTTTTCTAAAGCTGGCAGCAGCATTCGAGATCCTAATCAATGAATCCATTAAGTTAAGGATGTGATTGTTAAAGCCTAAAATATGGAACCTTATGAAGTCCCTCCTGGAGAGCAGGGGCTGTCTTACTTTTCATTTGTACCCCAGCCCAGAGTCTGGCACCTAGCAGACACTTAATGTGTTTGCTGATTGCTATAGATTCTCATTTACAGAAGCACAGTTGAAGGAGGTCAGAGTCAGAATGGAGTCTAGAAAATAATATCAGAACATAGAACGTTAGGACTGGAAAGGTCCTTAGACATAGACTATCTGAGCTGTAAAGTGCCTTTGAACATGGAGCTTGGGAACATGTTATATCAAGGCTAAAAGGGTTTATTCCTAGGGATCACTTAATTCAACCCGCATGTTTACGGGTGAGTAGACTTTAGGCCAAAGAAAGGAAGTGACTTTTTCAAGATTAGACATTGAATTACTTGGCAGAAGTTGGTCTTCTGATTCTGTTTTGTGTATTCTACCTACCTGTTAATTTTTCTTCTTAATATAGTCATATGATAAAAATAATAGGGGGCAAGGGAGGGAGAGTAGGACAGAATGTGGAATGAAAAACTTAAAAGAAACCCAAATGTTAAAAATTGTTTTTACATATAATTGGGGAAACAATATTATTAAAAGAATAAAAATGATGGTGAATCTTTTTCTTTTCAGAATTTCTATTCTCAATGAGATTTCTACACTAGGCATCACTGGAACTTTCCTTCTATCAGATCAAATAGTTCTGACTCTCCACCACCTTTCTGTCAGATTTTACACTATCCATTCACTTTTTTCTAAAACTCCCCTCTGGGCTTCCTTAGTTTCCCTCCTATTTCTCAGACAACTCCTTTCTTTTATCTCTTTTGTTGACCCTCCCACCCCCGGATTCCACCTCATCTCAGAGCCTGTGAAGCTCTGGTCCAGTATACTAAAACATTCATTAATCCAGAAAGGGTGGGAGACAGCAGAGTCTGGACTCTCTTTCTTTCCTTGGCTCAGTCTAGGTTCCCTGTATGTCTTCCAGCCTTCATAGTTCACAAGGAGAAAAAGAAAAAACGGACAGCTATGTGGCATCCTCGAATCTCTGACGGTAGCTTCCTTGGTGAGGGAATGGAAGGGGTTTTAATGGTTCCTTTATAAGATCTCTCTCCCATTCCAATCCTAATCAGGATTTACATATGACCTACTCCCTCTACTGGAGGGATCGAAGCTGGACTAGAAAGAAAGAAAAAAGGAGAGAAAGATTGGGATCTTCATTTTCTTGGGTGTGACATCTTGTATTTATTATGGCCCGTTTGATATTTTACAAAATTCTTTCTCATTCAAGCATCTCATTTCATAGGCTCACAGATCTTAGAGAAAGAAGATCATAGGGGTTGTGACATCTTGATTTGTTAACTTAGGAAACTGAGGCCCAGACAGGTAAGTGATATCACAGACATCAAGCCCAGAGACAGGATTTGAACCTAGGTCCTCCCACTCTGAAATGCATCAATTTTCCCTCAAACTCTCCCTGCAAGGTAGGCCAAGTTAGACAGTATGGTGAGATGGAAAGAACACTGATGCTGGAATCTGAGGACCTGGGTTCCCACCTCTGATGTTTACTATCAGTATGCCTACGGAAGAGACACTGAACTTCCCTGAGCCTCTGAGGCCTCTTCTGGCTCTAAAAGATCTTAGTTCTACAGATGTGGACCTTCAGGGTGGAAAATTTTCAGTTACTTGCCTAAGGCCATACCGATGATAATTAGCTAGTTCTAGGTTAGTTAGTTCTCCAAGTTCTCAGCCCCAGATCTTCCTGGGCAAGGATGCTGTCATGTAAGGGCTGGGTGGTCCTTGGCCTTTGTCCTTTTAATCACTCAATTCAAATTATGCTCCCAGTTTGTGGATAATGGATGCTCAGCACTTTTTTCCATTTGAGAAGGGGGTTCCCTACCTTACTTAATGCATTTAAGGAAAGCTTGAGTGTGTGTGTGTGTGTGTGTGTGTGTGTGTGTGTGTGTGTTGTTCCTGCGCATGTGTTTTTCCTTTTATTGTCCCAGGGGACACAATTCCCAAGACAGACTATATCAGAGCCACAGAAGGAAAGAATGAGAGAGAGAGAGAGAGAGAGAGAGAGAGAGAGAGAGAGAGAGAACAATGAGAGAGAATGAGAGCTAGAATGATACAAAAATGAAAAGACAAAGAATGAGGGAGAGACAGAGAAAACTGAGAGTGAGGGAGAGAGAGACAGAATGAGGGAGACAATGAGAGAGCTAGAATGAGAGATGGAGAGAAAAGACAATGAATAAGGGAGAGGCAGAGAATGAAAGACCGGCCGACACAGAAAGATTATTGGCACAGAGAGACATTGGAGCGACCGCTTGTTAGGCCGACAGCTGTCTCTGACCCTTCTTCCCCGCTGCTTCCTCTGGTAGGGCTGGCCTAGGCTAGGCTGCCCCCCGGGAGGGAGGGGAGTCCTGGTCGCAGGCTCTTCCTGGAGTTCACAGCAAAAAGACACCTCCTAGTCAGCTCCCCTTCGTCTGCCCGCTTTTCTCTCGGAGGTGGCGGTGGTGGTGTGTATGTGTGTGTAGTGTGTGTATGAGCAAACAGCTAGCGATCGCGGTGTGTGTGTGTGCGTGTGTGTGTGTGTGTGTGTGTGTGTGTGTGTGTGTGCCTGCCTGCGCCTGTGTGTGTGCTTGTGTGCGCGCGTGTGTGCCTGGGAGGGTTGCCCGAACCCTGGCCCCTCCCTCTCTCCCTCTCCCCCCCCCAACCCCAGCACATTCCCCGCCCCTTCCCCAAAGAAGAGGCCGAGCTGGTATTTTTCCACCCAGCAGGATGGGTGATGCTAAATGCTCCCTCATTAGACAACAGACACGAGAGGTCAGGAAGAAACCGCTTATAAATTACCGTTTCCTCCCTCGCAGCCCGGCTAGTTGGACTGCGACGCGGAGCAGGACGCACGCTCCAGGCACCCAGCGCTCTCAGACGCCGGTTCCTTGACAAAAGCAGCGGCGGGCAGCAGCGGCAGCGGCGACGGCGGCAGCGGCGGCAGCGGCGACGGCGGCAGCGGCGACGGCGGCAGCACCAGCTACGGCCACAGCGGCGGCTGCAGCGGCAGGTAGCATTGTCGCGGCTGCTGGAACCGGGACGCGGGGAGGACGAGCCGAGGGAAGGTAGGCAGGGAGCACAGAGGGGTCGCGGGGAGCTAACGTGCGAGTAGAGCGACCCTGGGAGCTAGCCCAGGACGGACGGCTCTTATTCCCCGGGCAGCTCGGAAGGAAAATAAGCCGAGCCAGACAATAGCTGTATGCGCTCCGGCGTGCGCGGAAGCGTGCTTTGTGACCCTGACCGAGGTGCAGAGCTCCCCGCCCGCCTCGGCCCCGCATCCCTCCACGGCCACGGGCAGGCCACGCTGCAGCCCGACCGGGCTCTTTCCTCCAGCTCCCTCCGCTCTCCCTCCGGTTAGGTACCGCCGCTTGTGGGGCTAGGTTTGCGCCCTGGGCGCCGGTATTCGCCTCCGCTGCCCCCCGCCCCCTCCAGCCCACCTTCCCCCCTCCCAACGGTCTGCCGCAGACCCTTTTCATCGCCCTGCTCTTCAGATCACCCTTGAGGAAGGATAACTCCCTTCCCCCTGGCACCCGGTGCCTAGATGGGTCCTGATCCCCCTCCCCCCTGCCCAGGCTCGTCTGCATTTAGGTTTGGGGGTGGAAGCGGTGGCGAGAGGAGGGGAGGACGGGGAGGGAGGAGAGCTGGGAGTGGTGTGTGTTTTTGTTTCCCTGGCAAATTGCAATTAAAAAAAATGCCTTTTGATGCTGGCGGGGGGAACGGTGTGGAGAAGGCGGGGAGATATGTGTGGGTGAGTGGGGAGGCAGCCCTCTAGCTCTGGTATGGAGAGACCCCCCCCCTGCTCCCCAGTACGGCTCTTCGGTTCGCTCCCTTTTGGCTAGGAAGCCTGCAGTGTTCTTACGGGGGGCTTTAGTGGAGGCTCTGCCCGCCTGCATCTCTGTTGGCGGGGTGAGGAGATACGTGGTGCTGGAGGGAAGCATCTCGGAGCATCGAGCCCGGAGCCTCGGAAGCACTGGCTGCTCTTACTGGCGAGCCTCGCTTAGCGCCCGCACCTCCCTCTCCCCACCCCCTCATCCCGACACACGGGTGAATGCATACATGTTGAGGATGATGACCAGAATCGAGGTCTGTGACCCCGGGAATCAGACGGAGCGTGGGTCCGAGTGCCAGAGGAGGGAGGTGGGAAGGAGTTATCTTTCTGTGTATTAGAGATGAATTACGCAGACCAGAACTCTACCTGCCTCTCTCCACTCACCTATAATCGTTTCCTCTTTTGGGGAAGATAAAAAGAGGCTGTCGCTCCTTGGAGACGACACCCCTTTCCTCTTTCTTCCCTCCTCCTTTCTCCTCCCTCCTCCTCCCCACCTCTGTTTTTCAAGGTGAAATGGTAGTCCGTGTTTAAGCCTGGATGTCTCTTTTTCCAAATAGCAGCCTGGGTGCTGGGTGACAGAATTAAGGAGGTCACAGTTCAATCCTTAAATGTAGAAAGAGGGCTTGAATAAACCCACCCGGACATTGGAGAGATTTCAGTTGTCAGAAAAGGAGGGAGAAGGGGACCTCGATGGACTTTTATCTCAGCTGCCCCGGAGGAAGGCATTAATGAAGTGGGCAGAAGAGGAGGAGGAGGAGGAGGGAGGAGGGAGGTGACACTCGGGTTTAAGCGCTATTTTGGTAGTACTAGTAGTCCCTTTGGCAAGGTGGACATCTCCAAATGCTTCACAAGCATCATGGGAAAAGGATCAAGAAAAAAACCCCAACGATGCCAGCCTGTAGGCCCTGTGCCCATCTGTCCATTCTAGTTGAGATTTCTGCTAGTTTAGGGTTTGTGTGTGTGTGTGTGTGTGTCTGCCCCGGTGCCCATCAGCTTATTAAACCTCCCAAGACACTGCGATGTCAGGATTTCCAGGCATATATGCTGGGGTTGTGATCTTCTGTCCAGATTTGTATTTCTAGATTTGGAATTCATTAAGCTGGACAACTTTTGGCAATGTGTGTGTGCAAATTAAACTCTGGGAGAAGGATTCTCCCAAAGGATGGTGACTAGGAAGGTGATCTTTTAGAGAAACTCAGGGGAGGAGGGATTTATTTTTGTGAGAGGAACATGGCTAGCTCCTAGCAACCAGTGCCTTCCTTTGGCATTAAGAGAAGTGAGGGAGGAGGTTGGTGGGTGATGGTGGGGATAAAGGAATTTTATTGGAGTCTATTGAGACAGAAGAGTGAATTAGACAGATCTAGGAAGAACAGTAGGATCCTGGAAGGGGCCGGCAGTTGGTGCTTTCTCTGGTTATAGCTGCAGACAGTAACTGGAAATTGTCTTAACTACAGGATACCTAATAGGCAGAAAAGCCAACGTTATGGAAAGGCTGGCCATCACCGCTCTTTCATGCTCCCAGAAGTTTGTCCGTAAAGGCAAAAATCTCTAGTTTTAAGAAGAACTGGGAGAAGGAGGAGGAGTTATAGAAAGGAAAGCACTATTAACATTTTGAAAAGAACAGCAAGGGATTTTCTGAAATATGATTTTATTAAATGTACTAGAATCTTTTGGGGAGGTGGAAGGGACTTTAGAGGTCAAATAATCCAACTTCTTAGTTTTTACAAATGAGGAAGCAGGAACAGAGAGGTCTTGGAGGCAGAGTGTGAAGGAACCTACTGATGTCCAGAGGATCAAAGATCTGGAGTTAGAAGAGGCCAGGAGGGTCCTCAAATTAGGAAATTGTCCCAGAAAGTCTAAGTTACTCAGACCACTGGAATTCAAACTAATGACCTCTGGCTTCCAAATCTATGCTTTTCTCCAATGTGTCCTAAGGAGTCTAATAGTGTGAAGCCCAGAGATTTTGGGTTGGGGAGCGCAGGTGGTTCTGTTTTATAGAAAGTTAGAGTAGTAAAGGTCATCTGGTTCAGTGCTCTTCATTTGCAGATGGAGAAACTGAGGCCTAGAAAGGGAAATAATTTTCCCGAAGTCACACAAGGTACTGGTGGCAGTTAGATTTCCTGACTCTCGGATCAGTACTTCCTAGTGTGAAACATCACATGGCCACATTGACCTGTGTTTGGGAGACAGTTGTTCAGTCATATCTGACTCTTGGCGGCCCCTTTGAGGGTTTTCTTGGCAAAGATATTGAGTGCTTTGCCATTTCCTTCTCCAGCTCATTTTACAGATGAAGAAACTGAGGTAAACAGGGTAAAGTGACTTGCCCAGGGTCACACATCTAGTAAGTGTCTGAGGCTGGATTTGTCATGAAGTTGAGCCTTCCTGACTCCAGGTCTGGCACTCTATCCGCTTTGCTATCTAGCCATGGTACTAATTAGTCTCATTTTTATTGATGAGCTCAGAGAATGGAATTGATTTGTCCTTGGTCACCCGGCTAGTAAATGGAGGAGCCCAAACTCAAGTCCAGACCTTCCAATACCATTTCAAGTATTCTTTTAGCGGAACTCTGCTAGCTAACTCTGGTAGTCAGGACGTAATAGCTGAATTGGGATTACCTTTTAGGAATTTTTTAAAAACCATAGAAATGCAAAATAGGCAAAATCATGAGGAGCATAGAATGTCAGAGCTGGTGGGAACCTCAGAGAATATGTAGTCATAGAATCTTAGAACTAGAATCCGAAGGGTCTTAAGAATCTATTTACTCCAGCCCCTTCATTTTACTGATGAGGAAACTTAGGCAGATGGAGAGAAATGACTTGCCCAGAGTCACACAGGTAATTGATGTCAAGAAGTGGGATTTGAACCACTGTCCCTCAACTTTAGAGCTACTGATCTTTTTATGGTACCACGTTGTCTCCCCCTCCCCCTTTTTTTCTGCTTAGGAAATTAAGCCTCTTATAGGTTCTTATAGGGAAAGTAGGGAAGGAGTCTCTTGGCCAAGGTCAGACAGGTAGTCAGTGGAAAGCTACAACTTAAGAGACCAGTTTTATAAAGAGTTCTTTTCCTGGATTTTCCTCATTCCCAGATAGAGTTCCTTCATTGGCAGTCTTGGCCAGGTACTCTCAGGTCTTTTCTGCTCCAGGTGACCTGGCAATTTTAATTGGCCCAAACCTTGAGTAAAAGGAAGGGTCAAAGGTTGAGAGGCCTCTGGAGAGCCCCTTTGCCTCTTCCACATATTGTACTGTTCTTTATCTGCCACTTGAAAACTGATGCCACACTTGGAGGAGGGGGGTTGGAGTTCCTCAGGTGAACCCCTCTCTAGAGGAAGAAAAAGAGTCTGAAACAAGCAGAAAGTATCTTTTGCCTGAGTCAGTGGAGGCTTTCTGGGGGCAGTCCTCTGAAATTGTCAACACTGACAAAGCTCAAGTTTCTGTCACTTCCCTCTGAAGACAGTCAAACAGTGAAAACAGCTCTTTCCGGCAACAGCTGAGTCAGCAATGTTTGTCAGCTCTTCTTTTCGAAAGCCTTTATTTGCGTCTGTCCTATTCGAGACTCCGTGAGGGTTCCAGGTGTGGATTTCCAGATTAATGAGAAAAGTGGCCAGGCTGGCACATGCCCATAGTGGGAGCTGGCATTGCCTACCCTTTGTCCTTTGTAGCAGGCACTCAGTATGATAATGAGCTGCCATTAGACCTCCCCTGACGTCTTTTCTACCCAGGGGCAGGCTCCAAACATGCATTTTAAGAGTTGCAGAGTTAATTAACTTCCTAGTTCCTTTTGATTTTAGGCAGGAGTTACAAGGCTAAAGTACCTGAGGTGAATTATGGCTACCCGGAAGTAGGACCTTTATTTTCCCCTGCCTATCTGTTTCTGTGGCTGCCCTTTGGAAGACTGATTGTTGATCTGTGCCAGGCTGATATATGTCTGTACATTGGTTGGGGAAAAGGAGAAGACGCAGCCCTGGGAGTAAGCTGACACAAGTACTAGACCACCCCCCTTCCCCCTTCACTGTAGCTGCCTTGGTGACTTCAGGCAAGTCACTTCCCCTCTCTTAAATCTCACTTCCTCCAAATGAGGGAGGCTAGATTAGGAAATCCCAAAAGTCTCTTCTCACTCTAACATTCAATGCTTCTGTTTCCACTCAGTGCTACTGTTTAGCTTAAGGAAACCCCACACACTTTTTAAGTTTCTTAAGAAACACTAGAGTCACGTTTCAGTTCACTGGCATGCTGGGGA